TAACATTTGGAATGCTTCGGCGTTCGATACTTCCCTTCGGTCCTGTGCTACTCGCTCGTTAATGAACGTTGCGAGTCCAAAGTGGTTCGCGAGTAGCGCCGTTTGAACGTAACTGAAGTCTCCGTTCACGTATGCTTGCTCGCACAGATCGTTGAATCGATTCGGATCCATGTTGACCCATGCATCTCTGTCTGCCGGTACATTGAGATTAACTGGCGGGTCGCCCTGTCCAGGTCTGGCCGCAGCTGCCGCTGCCGCTGCCATGGCAACCGCGCTCCGCTACCATGCAAAACCCCGAGGAGGGTTCTGCACGGGAGCTTGGCGACAATGATAACGATAGGTCACCTTTGTACTCCCGAACGGCACAACTGGTCGATGTGGATTCGACCGTTAAACACTTGAGCCAAAGGCAGCGGGGTTACTATTCCTCCCCTGTCACACGCATGCTTGCATGTTAACACCTCCTCCTCCTCCTCCTCCTCCTCCTCCCCTCCTCCTCTCCTCCTCCTCCTCCTCCTCCTCCTCTCCTCCGCCTTCTCCTCCCCTCCTCCTTCCTCCTTCTCCTCCTTCTCCTCCTCCTCTTCCTCATCCTCTTCCTCCCCCTCCCCCTCCCCCTCCCCCTCCCCCTCCTCCTGCTCCTCCTCGTCCTCCTCCTCCTTTTCCTATTGTTTCCTCCGTTTCCTCCTTTTCCTCCCTTTTCCTCCTTTTCCTCCGCTTCCTCCTTTTTCCTCCTCCCTCCTCCTCCTCCTCCTCTCCTCCTCTCCTCCTCCCCTCCTCCTCCTCCTCCTCCTCCTCCTCCTCTTCCTCTTCCTCTCCTCCTCCTCCTCCTCCTCCTCCCTCCTCCTCCTCCTCCTCTCCTCCACCTCCCCCCCCTCCCCCTTCCCCTCACCCTCCTCCTCCTCCTCCACCTCCACCTCCTCCTCCTGCTCCTCCTGCTCCTCCTGCTCCTCCTGCTCCTCCTCCCCCTTGTCCCCCTCCTCCGCCTCCTCCTCTGCAGGGATTCGTGTTGGCAGGGGCAGATCGGAGATGCTCACGTCACGAGTCCACCCCTTGCAAAAAGACAGGTTGAACCTTACAAGTACGGCAAGGAGGAGAGAAGAGGAGAGGACGCGGAGGAGGGCTAGGAAGATGCGGAGGATGAGGAGGAGGAGGAGGAGAAGGAGTTGTTGTTACCGCCGCCCTACCGATGACGGGGGGCCCTTTAAAGGTGGCGGGGCCCGCCGTCAACGAGTTGAACATGTGAGTGGCCCCAAACACGACCCCATACTCTTTCCAAACAGAATCCGTGCTGAAGATGTCACTGGCACCAAGGAGGAACTGGAAGCCACCGACCAGCCCACCCAGTGCAGGGAGCCCGTGGTGTGACGATGCACGAGGCGCTCGCCCGCACGAAGAACACCGAACAACCGGCCGGCGACGTCCTCTGGATCGTTCAGCGCGCCACCCAAGACATCTGCGGGACCCCTAACGCGACGCACAGGAAGTACACGGCCCAGGCTAGCTCGGCCATCACCACCATCTCAGTGAGCACCCCATCCCACTGGTGTGTGCTGGACGGGTTATTGCATTCACGAAGGCCCAGCGCTTGCTCCAACACCATTTCATCAACGGAAGGATATACCAAAATGTGCAGGCAGGTGTTCTCGACCACTGCTGTAAGCTTCCCTGTGCGGCCGACATACATAGGGAGCCACATGCGAACCCCACCCCTACCCCCCACGATTTCTGAGGGGGAGGGTGGGGTTCACTTCGCTCGGGAACTCCCAAACGAAGTGAACCCCACCCTCCCCCTCAGAAATCGTGGGGGGTAGGGGTAGGGTTCGCATGTGGTCCCCTAATACACACCCTCCGGTGCAGCGCCATACCTCCCAACATCGAGTTCTAGCGGCCATTCGTGCGCCTGACAGAGACTCCAAGAGGATGCATCAACGGGATCTGGCGGGGGTTCAGCACGCCGCACAATCTCACGCACCGCCCTGCGGGGACAAGGACGAGAGAGGAAGCCGCGAAGCACCTGCTGCATAACTTGGTACACCATCTTGCCACGGCCGGCCTCAGAGCGAGGAGTAACAACGCTACAGAAACGCCGAGGATAAGGAAACGAACTCTATACACCGACGCTTTTTCCGACCCTGCGCTGAAATTCGCACAGGAACGCGGATTCTGGTGTATACGGGATCCTGGTGCATACATTGTTCGTTGTTTCCCCGCAAACACGGGGAAACAGTATATACCGGACCGCCCCGACGTCGTCCCCGACCCTCGAAAAGTCGCAGGATTGAAAAAAGGCCCGCCACTGGTCATGTACATGCTCCAGTTTCCGAGAGGAGGACGCAGCGGACGGCTGAACCGCGAAGAGGGAAGAGGCCCAAAGCAGACCGGCACGGCTGTCGCTCGGCCCAGGACCAACCGAGAGGTGCCGTGCGCGGCCCCGCTCGACCCTCCTCGTTCGGCTCGCCCGCGGAGCTCCGCGGTGCTTTGGGGAACCTCCTCGGCACGTCCACCGCGAAGTGCGCCGCGTACCTCGCGGCAGACGGTCCTCCAGAGCACGGTTGAAGTCCGCACCGCGCAGCTGCACGGGAGGAGCATCGCCAGGACCATCCGCCACGACTTTCGGAGCGAGGACGGGGGCACCACGCCTCTATGGGAGCTCAGGGAACGGCGGGACCGCTGGCAGGGTTGAGAGAGCATCAACAAGAGGCTGCACATGCATACGCGGCTTCTTGGCACCAGAAGCGGCCTCTCCAGGGAGGCTGCCCCCCCAGCGCCAATCCAGCGCCACCTCCCGACGGGCCAGAAGAACGAGCGCGCCAAGGGCGCCGAACGTGTCCACTATGCCAAGCATCTTCATCACCGTTCTGGGCGTCATCAGGAGGGCCTCCATCGGCAGGAAGCTGCACGGCTGCACCAAGGCCCTCTGCACGAAACAGGAACTCAACCCGGGAGTGGCCGTCGGAGTGCTTGCGACCACGGTCCACAATCGCATGCGAGACCTCCACCGCAGCAATCCAGTCTAGAGCGATACGTGCAAAGATCTGCAGGCCAACACCCACGAGAACTCCAGGGTAGCTGTGCACCGTGAGCTCCTGGATGATGGCCAGCTCGTTCGTGGCAGACGTGACGACAAGTTGAAAGCCGGCCGCAAGTAGTTGCCTGAGGCACGCAATGCGGGCAGCGACAACCAGGGGCGACGGGGAGGCGAGGCGCATGGGCGCACACCAAGCATCAGCTCGGCATGTGCATGAATCAAAATGCTTAGTTAGGAAGAGGAGGAGGAGGAGGAGGAGGAGGAGGAGGAGGAGGAGGAGGAGGAGGAGGAGGAGGAGGAGGGGGAGGAGCAGCAGGAGAAGCAGGAGCAGGAGGAGGAGGAGGAGGAGGAGGAGGAGGAGGAGGGAGACTGGGGCGGATGCGGATGGCGGGGGGGGGATCAGGAGCAGGAGGTGGAGGAGGAGGAAGCGAGTGGAGCGTGGGGAACGTGGCCTGGCTAGGGCCCCGCGCTCCCTCTCAACATGTAAGCGAGGAGGCGGGATGAGCAGGATGAGGAGAGCCATGCGTAGCAAGGAACACTGACAAGGAGTAGGAGGAGCAGGATGAGATGAGGAGGACCACGAGGACGATCAGAGGAATGTGAGGAAGGGGACGAGGATGAAGAGAGGGGGTGATGAGGTGGATGAGGACCAAGTGTAGGAGAAGCCGCAGGAGGGAGGAGGAAACCGAGAGCGGAGGAACCACTTGTCGTTCAGGAGACCCGCGCTGCGAGCCCAAACCGAGCTGGCCGCCGAATTGAAAATACAGAGGGAACCGGGCGTCTGGTGTAACGTCTGTCTTGTCAGTAGAGGCGAGGATTCAAACAACCCCTGGAGTGGGTAGATCACGGTTGGGACAGCGCAGACTGGCCGGGGGCACCGCCCCCATCTCAGAACGTGTTGTTTACGTCGGGGAGCTGCAGAGGCAACCTTTAATGACAGAGCGGCGAGGTCGACGGACGAGCGAGGGAAGGTTGGCATGAGGGAGCCTCTGCGATTGTCTAGCGGCCTTCGGAGGTTTCTGGAGAATGAGGTGGCAGGGCGACGGGGAGGAGAAGGAGGAGGAGGAGGAGGCAGAGTGACAGGATGCAGAGGGGTCATGGGAAGCAGGAGGAGGAGGAGGAGGACGAGGAGGCAGGGGACAGGGAAGCGGAGCACGAGGGCCAAGATCAAGAGGAGGAGGAGGAGGAGGAGGAGGAGGAGGAGGAGGAGGAGGTGCAGGACGCGGACGGCTCACCGCTCGGCGCGGCGCGCCTGCGCACTGCCGCGCCGAGCCGGTCGCCTGGCCCTCTGCGCCCCTCCTGCCCCGCGGCGTCCGCCCTCCGCCCGCACTCCGCCCGCACTGCGGCCCGAAGGGCTCCCTATGTGCCTCCCCCGCGGTCCTGCTCCGCTCTCCCGGTGGCCGCTGGGCTCCTCTGGCCGCCTGCCGCCTACAGCCAGCCCGTGTCATGAGGATTCTATTTATATATCGCTCGTGCTTGCGCTCCACAATGAGTCAAACAGACTATTGAGCAGCAGGCTTGTGCGTTGAGAGGAAGAGTGCCCTTGCAGCACGGGCGCTATCCACAGCCACCTCTGGGAGGATTCTATTTATATATGTATATACACATATATATATACTCATCCGGCAGCTTAGAGGGCCGATTCACGATGTCTGAACTCGCTGGCCAGTGATGAAGCCAGACAATCGGCTGTACTCGCAATCGCCCCGCCGTCAGGCCCCAGAAGCTGTATCATAAGGGTGCGCGGGGTGAGGACGCAAGGGCCGTTCACGCTTCCGCGCCGTTCACGCGGGGTGGGGGGGGGGGGGCACGTTCACGCTTTTCGAGCGAGGACCGCCAGCAAGAGGCGCCAAGGACGGGCCGCAACAGGGCAGGGATGCAAAGGCACGCCGGGGCAGGTTGCCCGTGCTTGCTGTGCGGGTTGACTGTGCTCCTTCGGGCCCCCTCGGCGTCCCCCGTCCGCTCTTGCGACCACATGTCGATGGCGACGTCGTACGGGACACCCAGTATGACCTGCGAGGGGTCTCGGGCGCGGCAAGAGGAGGAGGCACGGGGGGCACACGCAGTAGCTCAGCAGGCCGTGAGCAGCCGAGGTCTCGTCGGCCCGCCTCCTCCCTGTCGCCCCCATGCGTCCACGCCGCCGGCAGGTGGACGAGCGGGGCTGGCTGGCTGGCTGGAATGAGATATCTCAAGGGAGGCGGAGGAGGGTAGACAGCAACCTACGGTGGAGGCCAGTCCACAAGAAAACTTCCACAAGGAGCCCTACCCTGGTACCACAGGACGTCCATTGATTTGTGGTGTGGGAACGTCACGCCTTCCATGGCGAAGCCATCGAAACCCAAGGAGCCCAGGGCACCCTGGAGGCAAGCAGGGTGTGTCTTGGCACGGGCCCCCACTGTACATGAACAAGCACCGTGCCTCCCTCAAGAGAAAGCCGAGGAAGGAACCGATAGGGGGCCTTCTTGCCAGGGCGTGCCTCGGCCACGACTAGGGGCTCCCCGACCTAGCTCTTGAAGAAGGGCCCGAAGACCAGCGCCACGCCCCAACCCCAACACCAGAGCCCGAACACCAGAGCCACGCCTCAACCCAGAGGTGGTCCTCGCTGCAGCGTCTTGACTCTTGCCTGGCGCTGCTGCCTTGGGCAACAATCCGAGGCAGCGGGGCGCGCCCGTGGACAAATTGAGGGGGGGGGCTGAGCACCTCCTCCTCCCCCTCCTCCTCCTTGTCCTCCTTGTCCTCCTTGTCCTCCTCCTCCTCCTCCTCCTCCTCCTCCTCCTCCTCCTCCTCCTCCTCCCCTTGTTGCAGGGTCGACAGCAGCCGCACGCAGCAGACCCTAACTCCACATGCGGGGACGCGGACAGTTCTGCGGCAACTCGTGAAAGCCTCCCATACCAGCTGGCTGGCTCTCGCGAATCGGCGCTCCTCGACACCAGCTGGCGCGAACTCGACGCTAATTGACGCTATTCGGCGTTACATCGGCGCGGTCTCATCGATTCCAAGACGCTGGTCGACGCCAGTGCACTCCAAAGACGGATTCCAGGCGACACCAGTCGATCGATTACAGGGGTCAGTCGACGGTACACAAGGCTCCGAGGATTTGCTGCCGAAGCAGCAGACATTCACCCGACAGGCTAGAGGCCTCCTAGATGGGGTCGGAGTAGATGGGGTCGGAGGATCGCGCCGCATCGCCGATACATCGGCCATGTATCGGCGATGCATCGGCGATGCAACGTCGACATTGGCGATGCACCGGCGACGTCGACGCGAAGCAGATCGGGCTCCACATCGAGCCGCGTCGGCGAGGCATTGGCGATGCGGCGCGATCCTCCGACCCCGTCTACTCCGACCCCGTCTGGGAGGCCCAGAGGCGGGGGTACGGCTGGCTTCAAGCTGTTGCTGGACTGTGCTTCGACTGTGTTGGAATATTATTTGACTGCTTTCCACTGCTCTTCCGAGATCCGCCTCTAGGAAGACACGCCCAACATCACGCGAGCTCTTGAGCAGGGACCGACCGTCCCGGCATTCCTATAGTCCTACCACGAAATGTTCTTAGAACCCAAAAATGTTCTAAGAACAAAACAATGTTCTTAGAACATGAAGCGCATGCGATAAACCAAGACAATCTCCGCCAGAAATGTTCTAAGAACATCTCGTGGGAACCACAACAGGTCCTTAGAACATTGTTTGGTGGGGCCATAGGCGAGCCAGGACGCTTCGCCACTGCTTGAGTTTCTACTCCCGCCAGCCGTCGCGGGCTCGCGAGAGGCCGAGCGGCGAGGAGTCCAGATCGCCACTGCGACGGCGAGGAGCGTCCTATCGAAGCGGGTTCGAGCAGATCCTTGTCAGTCCGAGGCACAACCCAGGCAATCTGTATGTCGGGCGGGTCCCCCTACAGGGGGATCTTCGACGAAATATAATAATAAAAATACCCAAAAAAAATCCCCACTGCTTGAGGCTCCCTGGGGCGGGCAGCGGTGCCCCGGCCACCGGTCGGGCCCGCGGTGGGGGCTGCCCCGCCCGCGCACGATGCGAGGGGCCCCGGGGCGCCTCGACGACGCCGCGCGCTCGCGGGGCGCGCGGCGAGTGCCGCGCGCCGCCCGCGCGGCGTTCTGAGAGAGCCAGTGCGCCAGCTCTCGGGAGCGGCCAAGAGGGGGGTGTCCAAGAGGGGTGGGGGCAAATCATGACCGGCGGGCGGCATGTGCGCGGCCCAGCGGGGGGGCCAGGGACGCAATGAAATAAGAAGAGGCGCCGTGAAATCTGGGGAGATATCATGGCCCACGCCATGATATCCCCCCCCCCTAAACATCACCCCCCTCTTTGCCGCCCCCGAAGCTCTTGGGTTTGGACGCCCGAAATGGGTACGGAAAGACCGGGCACAATGCCCAACAGCAACAGCAAATGTTGTCCCAAACCAACAGCGGCCGCTGTTGGGCGGGCGGCCTTCTGTCTCGAATGGAGACAGGCCGCGGCGGCGCGGACAGCGAGTCCTGTCCAAAATGAACAGGAACTGCTGTTGGGCATTGTACCCATGCTTTCCGTACCCATCCCGTTCGTGCCGATTGGGGGAGGGGCTGTGGCCACCTGCCCGGCGATCTCCTGCTGTCGACGCCTCGCGACCCACGGAGGGGTCCAGCTGAAGCGGGGTGGTGCAATACACACAGGAGTGGGAGGCAATTGCATTGCAAATGTACTGCGCCAGAGAGCTCGATGGCATTGTGTTGCAACGAAATGTATTGCACGCGAAAACCCAGCAATATACATCTTCGCCCTTGAGTGTATAGCACGCCCCAAACCTATTGCAATCCAAACATCTATTGCAACAGATCTATTCCACCACCCCCTTGTAGCTGGACCCCCTCTCGGGTCAACCAAAATCCTGTGCAGTCAACCCGTATCATAAGGATGGGCGGTAAGGATGCAAGGGGCCTTGGAAGGCCATGCGAGCGTGTTTCGAAGGAGACTGGCCAGCGCGAAAGTCGCTAAGGATGGGCCGAGGAGGCAAGGATGCAAGGGTACCCCCGGGAAGGTTGCCCGTCGATCCTTACTATGCGGATTGACTGTACGTCCGGGTGCGTGGGCCGCTGGTGGCCATGGCCCAGACGCGACGTCGTGGTCACCGACGCGGTGCAGGGCGACAGTGGCAGAGTAACCAGCCTGGGGACGCAGCTGGGGCACCGAAAGTTGGACCGCCTGGCGTGACACGCCGTGCCCGTGGGGCCTGCCAAAACCGAAGTCCCCGTGACCCCTGTCGTCGCATAGCTTGCTCTGCACGTGCGTACTTCTCGCCTCCTCACCACTGCGCCCTGCCAGCGGCTGGGGTCGGGGCCTCTGGTGACCGGTAAAAGCGGCTCTGGATGTACGTGTACACGCGCTCGTCCTGAGCGTTCTCTTTCTGTGTTTTTGTTGTTGTTTGTTTTGTTCCTCTCTCTCTCTCTCTCGTTCTGTCACGTCTCCATCATCCCTGTCACAAACTCAGGATCTCTCCCTCTCTCTCTCTCTGTCCCTCTCTGTGGTGCACGGTGTGTGGTGCAAGCTGCCGGGCGCAACCTACCAAGTACAGAATATGGGAGGGGTGGGTGGGCAATCTATGTGATGCACGCGACCTTGCGTAAACTATGTAGTGCAAACGTCGTGATGAACTCTACGGGGGCACAGTTAGTTTTAAGAACTTCAAGCCGCCAGCTGAAATGATCGAGCAAGCAACTGGTTGGCAAACTTGAAGGGCCGTGAATGCAAATACATATGGGGCCTTGCTGATGAGTCACAGCAGGCACAACGACGCGCGGCGGGCGAATGATGCTGATGTCAAAGGGGGGGCCTGCAATTAAAACAATCGAAGCAATACTAGACACGTATTCGAACGATTTCGACACGCGCTGGCAGGGGCGCGTGCGTGTGGTCTCCATAGTACTACGCCGCATGGGTTGACGTGGGAACGAATTCAGCAAGTGTGAGATGGTGCTTGAATGATGCCGATATGCGGGCGGGTGAGCACGCGCGTGTCCCACAGTGTCTCATGAGACAGGGACGGCAGCAAATCAATGTCTGCAATCGTGTTAGCGCATACGCGCCCGCGCAAACGGTCTAACATACCGAATTGATATACACTTTGGTTTTCATGTGTTGTGGAAGCACTCTACCTTACAATGACAATGCGTAGACAGCTCATGGCTTTAAAATGGTTTCGACATGCGCGCGGGGGGGGGGGGGCGGTGCGCGAGTGGCCCGCAGCGCACGGCTTGACAAGGTTGATGTGGCACGTCCACAACATTGAATCCTAGCAAGTGCGCGATGGTTGTTTGCCGGGTACCGTCGGCATGCGCGCACGGGGGGGCGAGCGCGCGACCCCCGGTTGCACGGGCAATTTTTGTTTTTGGGGGGCCTTTTGATGGCTTCTGGAGGCGTCTTGGGGGCCTCTTGGACCATCTTTCGGGTCGGGCGAAGGGGGGGATAGCAAAGGGGGGGGTTCAGAATCAGCTCACGTAGCTGATTTTCCCGGCGCCTCCCGGCGCTGGAGGCGGCTATGTATCGAGGAATGGGCCCCTCTGCGAGGCCGAAACCAGCTGCATGCAGCAAATGTCGTAACCCTCTCTTTCCCAATCCCCCCCTTTCGTCCGGCCCGAATCTTGCGGCCATCTGGGTACCCCTTGGGACACTCCCGGGAAGCCTCGGGCTCTCTTAGACCGCCTCGGAGGTCTCCTGGCACCGCCGGTGGGCCGTCTGCACGGGCTGGGAGGGATCCTCAGAGGCCCAGAAGGCCCTCGTCGACACTGCCAAGGAGCGCCCCACAAAAAGCTCCAGGGACCGGGGCTCGGCGGGGGGGGGGTCCTGTGAAGTGGTGCGGGGGGCCCGCAGGGCTCGTTCCAACTAAGTATACACGAGGAGGACCGGAAGATCTGGCGCAGTCCACGTGATGCAGTGTATGCGAGGCACCCTACGGGGCGCCGTCCTGTTCACCACACCCGCTGCTCGGCGCGCGGAGCCGCGCCGCCGCTGGGCCCGTCAGGCGGCCCGCGCCGCCCTCGGGGGAGCTGCCGCCGCCGCCGCCGCCCCGCTGCGGGGGCGCCTGGGCCCCGGCCCCGAACCCCCCGAGCATCCGCGCCCGAGTCTGCACCAGCTCCGCCGCAGCTGCTCGGCTGCGGCCTCGGCCGCTGCGGAGCCGGTCGGGGCACTCCCCCAAGGGGCCTGCCCTCGCGCACTCCCGCCCCGCAGCAGCGGCGCCGCAGGCCGCCGCCGCGGCGCCCGCGGCCACGGGCGGCAGCGGTCAGCCGCCGCGAGAGCGACGCGGCGCATGGTGCCCGCCGCGCCTGATGGTTGGAGCCTGGGGGTCGAGGGCGTCTCCGGGGGCGCGGCGCGGCTGCCTGAGCCAGAAAGGTTTGAGCCAAAATGGCTACGGACGACGACGGTGATGATGCTGATGATGACGATGATGATAATGATGATGATGATGATGGTGATGACGATGGTAATGGTGATGGTGATGATGATGATTACTATGATGACTATGGCACAGATGACGCTGACGATGATAGTAACGATTCTGAGTATGGGGTTGATAAGGAAGTGCTCGCCCCCAGGCAATCCGAACTCCTGCTCCGTGCATACTGTGCAAAGACATTGGTTTGATGCGTGTTTGAACCGATCTGTGCATACACGGTCACAGGAGCATTGTTTTGGAACGATTCCGACGTGCGCGCGCGGGCGGACACGCGCGCGTGACCCGCTTTGCGCTAGCTGGCAGAGTTGGCAGCTCTCGGTGGCTGTTGGGCGTGTTCGACATACACGCGCATGCAGCCTGGATGGTCTGATTTGCCTGGGTATGACAAACAATGACCTTCTCATAATATCAATGAGTGCGCGCGCAAACTTTTGGACACGTTGCCGCCCGTGCCGCCTCGTGGGAGCCTCGTGGGCGACCCGTGCTCTGAGCTGACACGGCGTAGCCTGTACCACACAGCCTACATCACACTGCCAGCACCACACAGCTTACTAAGCATAGCTTCCGAAGCCTAGATGCCACCACAACGCTTGCGCCACATGGTTTTCTCCTCCAGCTCACACCACCTAGCTTACCCAACCTAACTTGCACCACAGATAGTACACAACATAGCTTACATCACAAAGCTTCCACCCCGTAGTGTTCACCTCTAGTTCAAATCGCATTTACACCGCATGGCGTTCACCACCATAGCAAACATCACCCAGCTTGCACAGCAAGCGTTCACCACATAGCTTACACTGCATGGCTTCCACCTCAACGGTGCAATTACACACGGTTAAGAGTCCGCGTTGATCAACAGATCGCCCAAGAGCAAAGAACATTGTATGATAGTTGTGAATCGCTGTGTGCCGAAATGCTTCGGAGACTTCGACATGCGCATGCGATGGCGCGCAAAAGGTCCGGGCGGTGACCTCTGCAACATATGTTCCATAATGTTCTTAGCATCTCAAATCGGATGCACCTCACTTCATTATTCGGGGTCGATGCCGGCCTTGCTGGGATTCGATTGTTTGATCTTCAACATGGACGGCCGTGCTGAATACGGAGCACAGTGCGCGAAGGTGACCGCGAAGTCTGTCCTCGGAAGAGGAGAAAAGAAATCTGTGTGGTGGAACCTATGGTGTGCAATTCATGTGAACCTTCTTGAAAACGTACACTCCACTGCTCGTGCAAACTGCCGCTCTCCAACACGCAACTGCCTGGTAAAGCTCATCTGGCCATGGTCTCAACAAGTGTACGGTCGTGTGGAACTCCACCGCGCAGACAAATACGTCCGTCAGATTGTGAAATGACCGTGGTGAATGTGATGACCGCGACGCCAACGACGATGGCGATGACACTGGTACAGACGCTGACGCTGGCGGCGATGACAGTCGAGATGGGACGATACGATGTCGACGACGATTGTGATGATGGAGGTGATGGTGATGAGGTTTGCCGCAGCTTCAAAGGTTCGTATGGCTGAAGTCACAAGATATGCGTCTAGCGCGCCTTAGGACTGGCAGGACGCCACAGTCACGTTGATTCGCGGCTGTGGATTCCCAGGAATGGTGCTCAATCGCAACTTAGGATTGTCAGGGGGCGATAATCACGTGGATTCGCAGCGCTGAAGTCCCAGGAATGGTGCTTTGGCACGTTTGAGGGTTCACATACCCTTGTCTTCGAGTGAACATAAGTTCTTAATGGCCCTGGGAAAAAGAAGGTTTGAACTGGTACTCATCCTGCTCCTCCTCCTTCTCCTCCTCCTCCTCCTCCTGCTCCCCCTCCTCCTCCACTCCTCCTCTCCTCCTCCTCATCCTCCTCCCTCCTCCTCCTCCTCCTCCTCCTCCTCCTCCTCCTCCTCCTCCTCCTCCTCCTCCTCCTCCTCCTCATCATCATCATCATCATCATCATCATCATCATTATCCCTCCCTTTCACCCTTACACCCGCCTCCTCCTCCTCCTTCTCACGCTCCTCAAAACAGCTTCCCCGCCTTCCCCCGTCCACCCCGTTCTATGCCCCCCCTTCCCCTCCCCCCTCTCCCCACCCCGCGCGAGCAAAGGAAGGGGGAAAAGGAAGAAGGAGGACGAGGGATGCAGGATAGAGGAAGATGGAGGAGGGACGAGGAGAAGGAGGGAGCATGAAGCAGAGAGTAAGAGAGGAGAGGACGCGGCGATGGAAATCACTCGCCCTCCGGAGGACGACTACGAGGGCGAGGACGATCCCTCGAGGTGTTCGAGGGCGAGAGCGAGGACGACGAAGACGAGCTCGACGACGAGCGCACATCCCTGGCGATGTCCTCAAAGCAGGAAGACCCGAAGTCGATGACCTGCGGGGCCCAGCCGGCGCGGCGGCGGCGGCCCCTAAGGTCGGACGACGACGACGACGACGACGACGACGACGACGACGACGACGACGACGACGACGACGATCACGCGACCCGCAGAGCCTCTACTCGGTCGCAGCCCCCTGTGCCCCGCAGGAAAGACCGCCACCTCCTCCATCCAGCCCTCCCCGACCACCCTCATCCAGTAGACGCTCTGCGAATGATCGAGCTGGCACGACACGGCCTCCACACTGCAGCAGCACGCGTGCTGCATGATCGGGGCCATCTCCTGCTCCTCCTCCTCCTCTTCCTTCTCCTCCTCCTCCTCCTCCTCCTCGCCCCTTCTCTTCCTCCTCCTCCTCCTCCTCCTCCCTTCCTCCTCTTCCTCCTCCTCCTCCTCCTCCTCCTCCTCCTCTGCCGCCTCCTCCTCTTTTTCCTCCTGCCCCTCCTCCTCCTCCTCCTCCTGCTCTTCCTTCTCCTCGTCCTCCTCCTGCTCCTCCTCCTCCTCCTCCTCCTCCTCCGCCTCCTCCCTTTTCCTCCTCCTCCTCCTGCTCCTCCTCCTCCTTCTACTTCTCCTCCTCCTTCTCTCTCCTCTTCTTCCTACCCTTCTTTCCGCTCCTCCTCCTCCACAGCCTCCTCCTCCTCCTCCTCCTCCTCCTCCTCCTCCTCCTCCTCCTCCTCCTGGGAGTGTTCGGGCGAGGGGGGACGGCCTTCGGACGGGAAGGGGGGGGTCTGTCGACGGGACCAGGGCCCCCAAGAGCAAGGCTTGGGGTTTCTGGCATGGCGCACGGCGCCAAAACGCTTCTACGACAAGGCCCTCCGGAAGAGAGGCACCAAGGGCTCCCTAAGGGTCGGCGGTGCGGCGTAAGCCGTTGAATCCACGTCAGGAAGTGACGTGCTGAGCGGCAGCGTTTTTCTGCGGAGGCGATAATGTAGCGTATCCAATGTATCCAATGAGTGCCAAATCGTCACATGTCGCACTTCTTTGCAATATTATGTGTCCCCCCCTAACCCCCCGTGAAGTCGCGCCACGGTGCCGTACCCAAAGGTGGCGGCCGTCCGTCTGGGGCTTCAAACCTACAAAAACCTATGGGAAATCAGCAAGTTCAGCCTCTTGAGGCTTCTTGGGACTCCAAGAGGGCCTCAAGATGGCCCCAAATGGACCCAAGACGGCCCCAAGACGGTTCAAGATGGTCCCAAGACGGCCCATGAGACCCCCAAAACGGCCCAAGAGGGCCCCAAGAGGATCCCAAAGAGCGCCTCCAGAAGCTAAAATCATGGATGGCACATTGGTTGTTGAACTATTTTCGTGTTCTCGCCTCTTTTGGCTCTCAGAGGACCATGACGGCCCAAGCAGCCTCTATGAAGACCCCAAGACGGTCCAAGAAGCCCCCAAGGGGGCCCCAAGACGGTTCAAGAGGGCCCCGAGACGGCCAAAAGAGGCCCCCAAGACGGTCCAAGGTGCCTCGAGAACGGCCCAAGGAGACTCCAAGAGAGCCCCAAGGCGGCCGCGAGAGGCCTCCAAAATGACCTCCGAAGAGGCCAGACGGCGCAAGAGCGCCCCAAGACGGCGCAAGACGTCAAGAAGAAGCCCCGAGAGGCCCCAAGGCGGCCCCAAAGATGCCCCAAGAGGCCCTCAAGAGGCTTCCAAGAGGCTCCCAAGAGCCCCCCAGGAGACCGCCCAGAAGCCCTGGGGATGGCAGGACGGAGCGGCACGCACGCGCGGCGGCCGAGCAGGTCACGCCAACCAGCGCCCACACCTTCCACATTTGAACACTCGCGCAGCGGCGATTACCAGTCTGGATCGGCTTCGCGGCGCCTACTCTACCCGCCAGCAAGCGGGGCAGAGCAAATCTGCTCTGTCACGCTGGGAGCTGCGCACCGCTTCTCGCATAAACACTGCCGAGCACCGCGCGCATTTTAAACACCAGCCTCCGAATGGGCCACACGCCGCAAGAGCGCCCCAAGACGGCCCAAGACGCCCCCAGGAGGCCCCAAGAGGCCTCAAAGAAGCCCAGTGCAGAAGAGGCCCCAGGGAGCCCCCAACCCCAAGACACCTCGAAGAGGCTACAAAGAAGCTCACAAGAGGCACCGCAACGACTGGACTGTGCGTGCTCCGGACGTGCCCCCGCGAAGCGAGAGGAATCAAGCCGCTGCGCTCGATCTTCGATCGGCAGCAGCGGCGGCGAGGGGCGCCTTGATGCCACTCTTGGTGGGGTTCTTCAGCAGGACGTTCTCCGGCTTCAGGTCGCAGTGGATGATCGGGGTCTGCCACTTCTTCAGGAAGCGCAGGGCTGGCGGCGAAGGAGGGCACAGGGCTGGGGGGCAGCGCCCCGCGAAGAAAAAAGAGCAGCTCTTGGCGGCGCGCAAGATGGGGTGGGGAGAGGGGGGAAGGCTTCTTAGAAGGGGGCTGCTTCTTAGAAGGCGCGGGCCTTACATCTACAGACAAGGCCCACCCCTTCTAAGACGCAAGGGTGCTTCTAAGAAGCCTTCCCCCCTCCCCCTACCCCCGTCTGCGCGTGGCCGAAGGGGTTGAGAGCTCAAGGGGCCCGCGCCGTGAAAGAAAGACTGCTTCGGAAACGGCGCCGAAAAAGGAAGACAGGGGATAAGGCAAAGAAATCCGCTGACCCTTTAGCGTGTGCGAGAATCGCCAACCCGTCGTCGTCGTCGTCGTCGTCGTCGTCGTCGTCGTCGTCGTCGTCGTCGTCGTCGTCGTCGTCGTCGTCGTCGTCGTCTTCGTCGTCGTCGTCGTCGTTGCCGCCGCCGTCGTCGTCGTCGCCAGTCCCAAGGAAATTGAGCGACAAGGACGGGAAACGTCATAGTTAAATCGATTACCTCCCCTTTGTCCATCCCTGATGGGAGGGAGGGTGGGGTTGATGGGGGTGGTGGGGGAGTGGGGGGGTCGTGGGTCAGAATACCGTTCCCCCCTGGGGTTCTGGCAGGTCCCGGGGGGGGCCCAGGGGGGTCGCCAACGGGGGTCCTGGGGGCGGTCGCGCCTTCAGGGTCGGCGGAATCGGCCGTAAGACCTACGCAATGTATGGAGGACGATGGAGAGATACGACAGGGGGGAATAGTGAGAGGAGACAGAAGGAGGATGTAGAAGAAGGAGAAGAAGAAGAAGAAGAAGAGGACGAGGACGACGAGAGCGACGATGAGGACGAATGAGAAGCGAGGACGGACGGAAAAAGGACAAGGGAGAGGATGAGGACGAGAGAGTAATCATCTTGTCGGATCTCGAGGCCTGGTGGCCGTGTCCCAACCAGGGAAAAGAAAGAGAGCGCAGGCGAGCAGCAGGCGGAAAAAGTGAGGGAGGCACCAGTGAGGCGCCGATGAGGTGCTCAGCCAAGCTGCTGCGCCGCACGGTGGCCACAGCGGCCTTGCTAGTACCCGAGGGTTCCGATAGAGGAGCAGAAACTACAACAACCTAAACTTCTGGAGCTCCGCGCGGATTTCTTGGACTGGTGCTGGACCCCTCCCTGGCGCGCTCCGCGCGCCACAGGGGGGCGCCGGAGGAGCTCCAAGAGATCGTCGATGCACCTGTTACTTCTTCGACCGAGGCCCACACCCGTGGACACGGGCTCACTTGTACAGTGGAGGTCAGTCCACAAGAAACCTTCCACAAGAAACTCAACCCTGAGACCCCAGGACGTCCATAGATTTCTGGCGTGGGAACGTCACGTTTTCCATCGCAAAACCACCGAAACCCAAGAAACCCAGGAAACCCTGGAGGCAAGCAGGGTGTTTCTTGGCATGGGCCCGCACTGTATGCACCTGTTCCTTCTGCGACCGAGGCCCAAACCCGTGGACACGAGCCCGCTTAGAGGGCAGCACTTCTCTCGTGTCGGCGGCACGAGCGGACGCGAGCAGCGGACGAGCCGCGGACGGCAGGGCGCGCCAGGTGCGGTCGCTAAAGAGCGGGTGGAAAAAGAAGAAACAAAAAAGGGAACGGCCGCGACGGAGAAGGCGGAGGAGGAGGAGGAGGACGGGGAGGAGGAGGAGGAGGAGGAGGAGGAGGAGGAGGAGGAGAGGAGGAGGAGGAGGAGGAGGAGAAGAGGAGAGGAGGAGGAGGAGGAGGAGAAGGAGGAGGAGGGAGGAGGAGGAGGAGGAGGAGGAGGAGGAGGAGGAGGAGGAGGGAGGAGGAGGAGGAGGAGGAGGAGGAGGAGAGGGGCCAACCGCCGAGGCGCGGCGAGAGAGCAGAGAGCGCAGGCGGCCTCCGGCACCGCAGGGACGTGCCTCCCTGCGGTGCAGCGCGCGCGGGGGCGCACAGACCGCGCGAGGCGGCTGGCGCAGCGCAGCGGTCGATGGCGCCCTGCCTCGGCAGGATCGCACGTCGCGCTGGAGCCGCGCCGGGGGGCACGCCGAGCTGGAATCGGCGCAACACCACGTCGCCGACAGGTCGGCGACGGGTGTGGCGGTCTTGGGGAAGATCCGGGGGTCTTAGAACGAGTTCAAGAGATCCGGTCTCGAGTACTATCCGGGGGTTTCTTGGATTCATCCTAACACCCCGGGATCTTACTCAAGACCGGGTTTTTTGGACTCCTTCGAAAGCCCCCGGATCTTGCTCAAGACCGGGTTTTCACGGACGTGGCGCCCTGCCTCGGAGCCAGAGCGCGGCGAGGAGCGCCGGCCCCGCGATCGCGGCGAGGGCGCAAAAAGGGCCAGGAGCCGCTGCGCTCTCCCTCGCGGGCGCGCCCGCGGGTTCGGCACCAGACACGCTCGCGCCGCGGCAGCAAGCACGACGGGAGATCTTCGGGCCGTCTTCGGCCTCCCGGGCCCTCACCGAGCCCCAGAAACTGTCACAGAACGACTGGCCGCTGGGACCCGCTGGGAGATGGGGAGGAGGCGGGTGGCCTCGAGGAGGTGGAAGGCGACACGCTGCTGCCGTTGACGACGAGAGGATGGGAGGGGGCGAGGATGAGGATGATCGAGCGGAGGACAGGGCTGTCTGGTGGGGTGGGAGGAGGACGAGGACAAGCTGGATGTTGTGGATGACACAGGGGTCGGGACGCCCGGGGAGCCCGTGCTGAAGAGATCAGGGCGTCGCACGCCTGGGCTCCTCAACGCGCGCCCGCAGGGTCGACGGCGCAGGGGGGAGGGGAGCGGGGTGGGGAGGGGAGGAGGGGGGGGGAAGGGGGGAAGAGGGAGGGGAGGAGAGAAGAGGAGGGAGGAGAGGAGGGAGGCGAGGAGGGAGAGGAGAGGGGGGGGAGGAGGAGGAGGAGGAGGGAGAAGGGGGGGAGTGGGGGGAGAGGAGGGGCAGGAGGGAGGGACGACGGACAGGAAGAGGAGGAGGACGGAGCGGGGAGGACAGAGAACGGGCAGGAGGGGGGGTTGGCAGGGGAGACGGAGGACGGAGGAGGGACGAGGGAGGAGGGCGGCGGAGGAGGACGTGGAGGACAGTATGCCGTCCTGGCCCCAGCAACATGAGTTGCTCAAATCCGCGTCCCCCCTTCACATCGCATGCACGCAGCATGCGTGTCCTTATGATCGGGGGCGGGCTTGCATCCCACTTGATTTTTTTTTTATAGCGGCACGCTCTTTTACTCCCAGGCCCTGCTTGGGCCGTGAGCTTACCTCACTGCGACTGAATCTTGATACTCCTTCGCTCCCCCCACTCGCCCACCCACCCCATAAACACGCGTGACTTCCCATGCACAGTATCACGCTGAGCATGGTCGTTGGCACTCTTTCCTGGAAGAAAATTAGAACCGTGCTGAGCGAAGCTGACTATGAGCACCGGGTGAACCACCTGAGAGTACGGGGGCCGAGCAGTCTTACACTATTTCCACACGCGTGGCTGAAATAGGGCTCGGCAATGCGGACACTGGCTGTTGTGGGCACCGCCTCGCGACCCCGCCCAACGACCCGCCTCGCAGCCCGAAGCGTGCCACGCCCGCCGCTGCCCAAACCCGCCGCGATCCGTCCCGCAGCCCACCTGGGACCTACATCGCCTCGCCCTATACCCGCGACTGCGCATCGAATGGTCATGGCTCGAAGGTGTCCGAAAGATGGACCAAGACGGCCCCAGGAGGCCCCGACGACAGTCCAGGAGATGGACGCAAGAGGGCCCCGAGACGGCCCGCCAGAAGCCCAAGAGGAGCCGTCTTGGAGCTGTCTCGCGTCGAGAAGCCCACGAGGCCAACGCCGAACACAAATGCCCGCTACGCACGGGATTTGAAGGAACTTTGGCTTCCCGTGGTCCGCTGCGTGGGGCCTCATGGGTGCACTGTCGAGCCGCTTTGGGAGCCAACTCTGCTGTCGAAAGCTGTCTTGGGCCATCTCGGGCGGGACGTCTTGGGACGTCCCAGGGCCGCCATGGGGCCCGGAGGCAGCGCAGAAGCCGCTCGGGGCAGCCCTCGGGGCGGCAAGAAGAGAACTACCAGCGATCCCTCCTCCCATGCTGGACTGCTCAAAACCTCGATGGGAATCTAGACAGTAAGGCCCTGGTGCTACCCTCCTGGAAGGTCAGGGCCTGCACGGGCGGGCGGCAGGGCGGCTAGCCGGATAGGGCGCTCCTGCCTCCTCCTCCTCCTCCTCCTCTCTCCTCCCTCCTCCTCCTCCTCCTCCTCCTCCTCCTCCTCCTCCTCGTCCTCCTCCTCCTCCATCCTCCTCCTCCTCCTCCTCCTCCTCCGCCTCCTCCTCCTCCTCCTCCTCCTCCTCCTCCTCCTCCTCCTCCTCCTCCTCCTCCTCCTCCTGCTCCTCCTCCTCCCCTCCCGCCGCCCAAGGCCTGGCCTGCGAGCAGCTGGATGGCGAAGCGGCGGATGAGCCCCAGGGAGACGCCCTCGGGGGTGGGCGGCGAGGCGAGACCCAGACGTCCGGCCTCGTGGTTCTTGTCCCGCTGCGCGGCTCCGCAGAAATCTGGAGCCCGTCCCCGTGGCCCCTGGGACCCGCTTGTCCTCCCGTGCCGTTGTCTTGGGCGGTCCCGGGGCCGTGCTGGCCCCCAGAGGCCGACGACTGGAACGCAGTTCCGCCGTGATGCTTCCGCGACGCGGGATGTCAGGGGCGGGTCGGAGGCGGGTCGGTGGCGCCGGCACGGGACCGAGGGCTCCCTCAGAGGTCTCCCCAGGGCCGCGGTCGATCCTCCATGTCATCCCTCGTCTCGGGGGGTGTTGTGAGCGGAACTGTGCCCGAGAATCTGCCCGAGCGTGGCCCACACTGGCGCCCGAAACCCTCCAACCGCACCCGAGTGTGACCGAGATGTCCGGGGCGGAACCACTGGGGCGGCAGCGAGGTTCGGCCACGACCTCGGTCACGATTTCGGGCACGCGTGCGGTAAACATTGTTTTCGGCCACGCACCTCCTTTGGAGGCTTGGGAATCGGCACCAGCAACAGAACAGGGGGGTGCGTCCACTGGGGGAGGATGATCCTAGAGTTCGGTGTCTCTGGAAATCCTTCGGCCACCCAGAAAGCCCGAGCATCACCACCACCACCGAGATCGGGATGAAGTCTTCCCTCGGCGGAGGCACTCCGCCGACCATGGCGTTGGTGCCAACCTCTAGGCCTCCGACTGTTACTAGGGGAACAAAAAGTGGCATAAACATAAAAACTCGGAGGTCCGCGCGGATTCCTCGGATCGGCGCTGGGGCCCCCCGGCGGCGCCTCCGGCGCCGCCCCTGGCGCGCTCCGCGCGCCAGGGTGGGGGGTCCAGCGCCGACCCGAGAAATCCGCGCGGACCTCCGAGTTTTTATCTGTATGCCACTTGTTGTTCCCCTAGTGTTGGAAAGATACAGGCGGAGCTTTCTCGCAACTTCCGGCCTCTGGGGGCCCTCGTAGGAGAGACGGCTCGGGATGAGAAACTGGTCCCTGGGAGGGGATCGAGATTCCTGGGGGACCTCCGAGTTTTTATGCGTATGCCACTTGTTGTTCCCCTGGCTACTTGCTGGCAGGGGCCGGGCGCCGCGAGACCCGCGCGGCGCCCGCGGGGGGCGGTCGGAGGGCGGGCCCCGGGGGGGGGCTCTCTCAGAGGACGGCCCAGGGGCCGCCGCGGTCCATCCTCGTGCGCGCCCGCGGAGGCGGCGGGCCTTTTCTCTCTCACGCAAGACTTAAAGGGCCCAGGGACTCACACACACACACACACACACACACACACACACACGCACACACATTTATATATATACACATATATATCTATACATATATATATATGTAGAATGATCATACAAGAAACCCACCGATTCACCGAATTCTCCCATCTTTTCTTGGTTGTCCTCTTCCCCCCCTCGCTTCCCACAGTTTCCCATATCTTCCTGGGGATCGACGATGATTCGCGTTTCTGTGTGTTTTTCCCCCTCCCGGAAGATTGCCGCCTCGGCCAGCCTGACCTCGTGGGTCCCTCCCCCGGCGGACTGGGAAGGACCGTACAGCCGGCCCGCATCGCAGGCGATGAGGATGCGCGGGCCGTGGAGGGCCATGCCGAGGCTGTTCGAGCGGGGCGCGGCCAGCGGAAGTGGCCAGGGATGGGCCGAAGGATTGCACCTCCTAGCCTGCGCCATGTACATTGCACCACATAGCGTGCACCGTTGCTTGCCTTGCACAACATAGCCTTCACTACATACCTTGCGCACGCTGATCGCACCACACAGGTCACGACACATAGATTGCACCACACAACGTGCACCCCATGTACGCATACATAGACAACGCAATGACCTCTTTCTGACTTGTTGCTCTCCGGAGGCCGGGCCAGGGCGCGCGGGTGAGCGCCCCCGTCTTGCAGCGAGCGCACCCTATAGGACTCTCCTCCGACCCTCGGGCCAGCCGGCTCGGAGGATGCAATGGGTGCTCTTGGGAAGGCTGCCCCATCCTTCTTGTGCGGGCTGACCGTGTAGCTTTTAGGGGGCCACGTGTGAACCCTACCCCTACCCCCCATGATTTCCGAGGGGGAGGGTGGGGTTCACTTCGTTCGGGAGCTCCCGAGCGAAGTGAACCACCCTCCCCTCAAAAATCGTGGGGGGTAGGGGTAGGGTTCACACGTGGCCCCCTAGCTTTGATATCCTGCTGCGGCGAACCTCCCGTGGCTCCGCGAGGTCCGCCTGCACGCCCCGCACGCGGGCCCGCCCAGTGCTTAGCGCAGAGGCGGCTGGCCCGGCATCGAGGAAGAAGGCACGGCAGAGGCCTACGCTCGCGGAGCTCCGCGCGGATCTCTTGCATCTGCGCTGGCCCCCCCGGGCGGCGCCGCTGGCGCCGCCCCCGGCGCGCTCCGCGCGCCAGGCCCAGGTCATTGGATGCACGATGCTTCCGATCGCGCGATCGGTGGCGACCGATCGGCGCTCCAAATCGGTCGCGACCGGTCGTGACCTTATCGGTCGCGACCGATTCTGAAGCAAGTCGGTCGCGACCGAAATTTGAAGTTAAAAAGCAAAATCGGTAGCGACCCATCTCGTTGGTCACGACCGGAAAGAACCGGGCATCCGATGATCAGGGGGGAGGGGGGAGTCGAGCGCCGATCCAGGAAAATCCGCGCGGAGCTCCGACAATTGCATAATTACTGTGTTAGGTCGGGCATGTCCCCCTACAGGTGGATTCTGGAAGAAACATGAAAAAGAGTCAAAGCAAACTCAAAAGAGTCAAACATAATAGAAACATCGTCCCCTGACTTACGTTGCTCCCACCGTACGTAAGGACAACATCCCAGGAACAAATTCGAGCCCCCCGAAAAGTACCGAAACAGTGTCGAACGAGTATCGCCTCCCAGGGCCCGACACGCGGAAACCCCCAACCTTCGGTACTTCCCTGGTGATCGACGCTCTTTCTGGCGATCAAGGCTAGGAAGTAGGTCGGAACATCATAACCCCTGACCATGCTTTATCCCTTTTTTGTATTCCTCTTTGGACGCCCGAAATGGGTACGGAAAGAATGGGCACAATGCCCAACAACAAATGTTGCCCCAAAACCAACAGCGGCCGCTGTTGGGCAGGCGGCCTTCTGTCTCGAATGGACACAGGCCGCGGCGGCGTGGACCGCGAGTCCTGTTCAAAATGAACCAGATCCGCTGTTGGGCATCGTACCCATTCTTTCCGTGCCCATTTCGTTCGTGCAGATCCTCCTGTCGAGGGACAGGCGAAAGGGGCGGATAGCAAAGGGGGGGGGTTGAGAATCAGCTCACGTAGCTGACTTTCCCGGCGCCTCTCGGCGTCGGAGGCGACCATGTATCGAGGCATGGGCCCCTCGGTGAGGCCGAAACCAGCTGCATGCCGCAAATTTCGTAACCCCCCCTCTCCCAACCCCCCCCTCTCGTCCGGCCCGACTGTCGAGGGACAGGCCCGAGGAGGAGGAGGGGGAGGAGGAGGAGGAGGAGGAGGAGGAGGAGGAGGAGGAGGAGGAGGAGGAGGAGAAACAGGAGGAGGAGGAGGAGGAGGAGGAGGAGGAGCTTCTTGCTTCTTGAATCTCGTGCCCGCTGCTCTTCGACGGCCGCCTCGCGGCCGACGCCCGGGGGGGCCGTGGGCGGGGCCGTGGGCGGGCCCCCCTCTCGGGCCAGCAGCCCCCCCCCCCGCCCCCCGGGGGTCCGGGGCGGCGCGTGCGCAGGCCCAGGGGCAGCGACGGCGAGGAGCAAAAAGCCCGCGCGGCCCTGGCCTTCCAGGAGGGCGAAGCAAAAATAAAGGGAAATTAGGACACACAAATAAATACACACAAATAAAAATACTCCCCATATTTTCCTATATTTTCTGGGTTTTTGTCTTCCCCACCACTTCCCATATTTTCCCATATTTTCTGGGAAATCGACGATTAATTGTGTCTGTGTGTGTTTTTTCCCTCCTGAAAAAAATAGCACCAGCCTGGACCAGATCCCTATCCCTATGCTGGGCACCTCCCCATCACGATGCCAATCTCAGGGATGCCCTGATTTTTTGAGGGCGGATCCCTAAGATTGTCATCGCCTTTGGGCGTGCCGATCTTAGGGATAGGGATACGTTCGGGGCTGGTAAAAAATAGCACCAGGGCATCGACGCTCAAGTTGCCGTCGAGGTTTTTCAAGCAATTCTCATCGTCCGCACTCTCTCTCTGCCCCCCTGCTGCTGCACTTTCCCCTGCTGCCGGGCGAGGGAGGAGGGAGGAGAGGAGTCCAGGCAGGTCCACAGGTCTGGAGGGCTATCTTTCAGCCCTCTGGAAGGTCAGGAAAAAAGATGACGTGGCGACCTTCCGCGGTGGCTTCTGTGGGCCGCCTCAGCGCGGCACGCTACATCTGAGACAGAGGGCGCTTGCGCGCCACCTTGCGCGGGCAGCTCGCGCGCGAGTCCGCGCGATGGAACCCATCCTGCCGCGTCGCTCAGATCTCTTTGAATGCCTCGATCGGGGACCCACTCACCGGGGCCACTCCGAAGCCGGGTCGGAGAGGCCCCTGCAGGATCCTGCAAGATCCTGCACCCACGACCGGGTCGGTGCTACCCTGGCACTGCAAGATCCGGCAAAATCCGGCGCTCCGACCCACCCCCGTTTGCATTGACCCCCGGCTCTTGAGCCCCGGCTCGGCAGTGTCGCAGAGAAGCCGGCAAGTCGCATCTTTCGACCGTGCCCCTGCAGGGTGCGCGCGCGCGCACTCCGCCGGGGCCCGTGTGCGGGCGTGTCGCATGATCCCAGGGCGGTGTCCACTGGGAACAGTCGCGCTCTGTGTACAGTCAAGACGTGTATTGAGGACGGGTGGCAAGGACGCAAAGGACGCAAGACCCTCGGAGGCCGAAGCTGGGATTTTTTTGGGCGGCGGGCGACCAGTACAAACGGCAAAGGACGGGCGGCAGAGGCAAGGACACACGGGCACCACAGATGAAAGCGCGCGTCCTTACCACCAGGCGCGTTGACTGTACATGGTGGCGCTCATGCTCGGCAAGAGCGAAGACGCTCTGTGCCACCCGACACGCGGTGCTCCCTTCCACGCCTCGTCACCGCCACGCACGACACACACGCCACGGTCTCGATGTTCACTATAGTCGGAGTGTTGACCTATTTAACCCAAAATAAGGACCGAGGCCCCTTTTTTAATATAAGTTGTGAACTTCGATTTCCCATCGAAAACAGAAGGAAAACCTGAGGCAAGCCGTGAAACAATTAAGGGACACGGAGCCCCTCCCCAACGAAAAGGGTTCCTTCTTCAGGGCCCCGACTGTACTCCGTCGTCGTCGCATCCCACACCGCGCCCTCCTGGGCTCCGCAGGCAGGGGCCGAAGCCGCCAGCCCCCCCGCGCGCACGAGGTGGAGCGAGCGGACCCCGGGGGCGATCGACGGCGGCGGGGCGCAGCGAAGAGGCACGCGAGGGCCGACCTCTCCGCGCAGCCCAGCGCAGCCAAGCCAGTGCCCAAGGGCATGAGGAGGAGGGGGAGGAGGGGGAGGAGGGGGAGGAGGAGGGGGAGGAGGAGGAGGAGGAGGAGAGGGCATGAGGAGGAGGAGGAGGAGGAGGAGGAGGAGGAGGCGGAGGAGGCCCGCGCGCCCAATTTTTCCGGCCCTCCGTCCTGGAAGTTGTTGTTCTTGATGAACTCGTACCTCAGCTGCACCGATCTACGCGCCACACGCGACCCGCAGCGAACGCGCGACCCGCAGCGTGCTGACACGTCGGCACGGCGCTCAACGCGCGTGGACCGTGGACCGAACATGCCGGTCTGCCTCGACACGCTCGCCGGGACGTGGGGCCATCACGTGCCGAGCCAACATGCAGCGTGCTCACGCGGACGCTTCGAGCACGGCACGTGTTTGAAGGGGCCCTGGGACACACAAATAAATAATACACACTAATAAATAGATTCCCCAAGTTTTCGCATATGTTCTGAGTTTTTGTCTTGCCCCCCCCCTCCCGATATTTTCCCATATTTTCTGGGGAATCGAAGATTAAGTGTGTCTGTGTTTTTTCCCTCCTGAGTGTTGCGCGCCAACGCCCTCCTCCCTCCGCGGCGGCCGCTCTCTGCTCCTCCACGCGCTCCGCGCCGCCCCGCGCCCGGCGCGGCCCGCCGGGCCCGACACTCGCGCCCGCGCCCGCCGGCACTGCCGATGGCAGAAGTTCCGAGCCATCACGGGCGTGCAGCAGGTTCGTGTCGTGCCGACTTCGGCGTTGGCTTCTGACACCGCGGGGGTCGTTTAACCTTACGCGACCGGCCGCTTCCAAAACGTCAGATCGTTCGTTGGACGTCGACCGATTCTGAGTCGCCCGCTGCGTGCAACGCTGAACGCCGGCAGCGGGGTCGCCGCCGGTCGGCACGACACGAACCTACCGTATCGGAGGAAACAAAATGGCACTGAAACCGCTACTCCCTGGACCTCTCCCGGGGTGCGTCCTGACCAGAACTTCGAGGCGGCGGCGACGAAGAAGGCCTCCCAGGAGGCCCAGAAATGGGACAACGAGGGACGGGTAGTGGCATGGCAAGCTTCTCAGGAAGGGGCGCCCGCGCCTTCCAGGAGTGGGGGGGTGCTTCTGAGAAGCCTTCCCCCCCTTCCCCGAATTGCCCCCCCTCCGCGCGTGGCCGCATCAAGGCCGCTGAGGACTCGCGCAGGTTGATGCTGAGGAGCTCGAACGTGATGCAGAGGTGGTGCCTGCCGCCGGCTGGCCGCGCGCCCCGCGGGGGGGGGGGGGGGGAGAGAAACACCGGGGGCGCAGGGCGGAGCGCCGCGGGGCCCGCCCCGCGCGGAGCCGCCCCCCCGCCTCCTCCGATGGAGGCTCCCTCTCCCTCCTCGCTCTCTCTCCTTCCAGCCGCCGTCCCGGCTCAGGGGCCTCGGGCGCAGCTACCCAGTAGCTGCGCGCCCCTCGGGACGGGCGGACATACGCGCCAGCCAGGGCCTCCTCGGCGCTCCCTGGCAGGCCGTGCCGCCGCTGACGAGTGGCCAGCGCCACGGGTCGTCAGCCCCCTACCAGCGAGCCCGCCTGGCACAGGCGAGCCCGCGAACGCCGCAGTCAAGCTCGGGTACTGCTCAGAGTGGCTTCCGCGCAGGCCACGCTCGCCTCGCACCACAGCAGTCCTGAGTACGTGCACATGTCCAACAAAGCAACATGGCAGCGCACCGCATCTTCGTGGTATTGTTCGCGCTGTGGGGTTTCACATGCTGCTTCCACGGCTTGGTGCACAACATGTTTTCCAGATCGCAAAGGTTTGAGTCGTCGGCCTTGGCGTCGAGACCGCTCCCTGTCACGTGCTGCGTCTCGAGGCGCTCAAGAGCGAGAGCCCTCCGAAGCAGCATCTCAGGCAGCCAGTATACGCAGTTCTACCACTACAAGGAGAGTGGCTTCGCTCGAGGAGGCCAAGGCACATCGCCTCTGGACCGAACCACCGCCACTAGCAGCAGACAGAGATGCTCACAGAGCTCATCTGAAGAGTGCCATGAGAGCTGTGGAGCAGCAGATCCAGGCACAAGAGAAGCTATCCACAGATGCCCCCCTTTTGGAGTCCAAGAGGATCGAGTATTCGGTCTACCAGTTCATGCATCTGTATTCGTACCCGTCGAAGGAGAGAGTCAGCAATCAGCAGGCGTACCTGGAGCGCATCGGCAAGCGCTTCGAGGCAGCGCAAGAAGCAGAACGTCAAGCGGAGCTAGCCCTTTCGGCAGCTCAGAAGCATCGCGAAGCCATGTCAATCGAGCTCAACCAGGCGTCCTCGCTTTTGGAGAGCTTCAAGGTGCTGGCCGAGCAGGAGAACCCCCACAAGTCCGTCACGTTCGAGGAGACGCCCACGCCTGTCACGGCAACAGCGCCTACGCCTCAGCCGCCATCGCCATTCGTGCCAACTGCTCCGGTGCCACCTCAGGTCATTGCCGATCTTCAGGCCAATCAGAATGCCATGACATCAGCACTGACGGCGCTGCAGGGATCCATCGTGACGATTCAGGCCACCTTGAGTCAACTCACTATTCAATCGCAGCCAGCTGTCCATGCAGCGCCGCCTTCATCATCTCCTACTCCAGGGAATGCAGTGCCGACGGGTGGAGTTGCCAGCGGCCCAGTGGCAGCAGGCTCCGCGGCAGCACAGCGACCCACATCGCACATCGGCAAGGGTGGCGTCATCAAGACGCAGGGCAAGGTGAACGCTGCGAGGACACGCTTGGAGCAGGCCGCCAAGGCCCCTGGGCAGACGCGGCTGTCACTTGGCCGTTCTTCAAAGGACGACGACAGCCTAGAGCCGCCGCACAAGAGCATATGCCTGCCGCACGAGGATGGCGAGGAGGAGGCGCACTCGGACGCCATGATCGAGGACGAGGACGTGGAGCAGGACGGAGCTGCAGCAGATCGTGCAGCAGTTTTTCACTAACCCGAGCAGCCAGAGCAGAGAGCTGGCTGCCACCAGGTCGGGTGGATATGAACGACAGTCAGTCTAATCATCAGGAGCAAGGCCTTCTTGAAGGGCCTTCTGGTTGTTCGGGTTTACCTCAATCATCGCAGCCCAGTACCGTTGAAGTACGTGGATGCAAGACGAGTCCCCTTCTGGACACGTCCATCGTCTTTCGGGAACTTTTCAGATCTTGGGACAGGCCTATCAATCCCAACTATTGGGCTTTGGCCAAGTACTGGCATTCCACCACCAGTGGGGCCCTGCCTAGGCTCGCTCATATTTCAGATATCATCCCATCTATTATCCACATATATACGGATGGATCTGGTGGTTCATCTAGGGGCAGGCCTGCTTGGGCCTTTGTGGTCTTCGTCGAGGACTCTCTTGGGCACATGGCGCTCCTAGGCTTCGAGGGCGACGTCTTGGGCATCGAGATCCCCCCACATCTTACCTCATTGGCTGCCGAATTATTTGGAGCTCAATGGGCCTTGGCTTGGTTCTTGCAGTCCTCGTATGCTAGCCTATGTCATGAATGCGAAGTTCAGGTTCACTGTGATAATTTAGAGGCTCTCCGAGTTGCCAGAGGAGGTGCACTCAGTGCTTCACTACATTCGGCACGCATCGAGCTTGACAGCATTGCGAAAGTGGTTCAGTATTTCGCACGCGGTGTCTCTTGGTTGCACGTGCCAGGCCACTCTGGCCAGCCCTGGAACGAGATGGCGGACACAGTCGCCACGCTCGCTTCACTAGGCAAAGGTGATCTCCCGACGCCTGACGCATCCTGGAGGAGATGCTTACAATCACCCCAGGCGCTACAGTGGCTGTGGCTCAGGTTCGAGCCGCAGAGCGTGCAGTTGCAGTACCCACCCAGTGCAGGAGCAGCGATGCCTAACTTCCTCGAGACGGAGTCCGAGAAAGCATCAGCTCTCACCTCTCTCCTGCGCCTAGACACGAGACAGCCAGTTGCTTGTGACCAGTTTACCGCAGGAGCTTCTTCCTGCCAGCTATGGGTCGCAGCTGCCAACGTGTTGTCCCTCAGCCCCGGCACGCTATCCGCATCATCGGCCAAGCCCTCGGGACTCTTTCTCTCGGGTCGCATGAAACAGTTGAGTGCCGCATTTAGCAGACATCATTTTTTCCTGATCGCGACTGTCGAGACTAGGTTTCCTCGCTCTGGGGTTTCCACTGTGGCACCATACCATATTATACATTCAGAGGCTGATGAATCTCGTCGGTTTGGCTGTTCTCTATGGATCAATACCTTTATCGAAGTTCTTCCCGGTGTATCTTTGCAGGCCAAGCATTGCTGGACACTTGCGGCGACCCCTACTTACCTCCTCGTCGCCCTTCGAGTCGACTCGTTCGCCTTGGACGTTCTCGTCGCTCACGCTCCTCACAGCAAGAAGCCTGAACATATCATCGAGGACTGGTGGAGGACGGTTTCGCTCGTCATCGCTTCACATCGCTCGCCAGGGGTTGAGCTGGTTTGTTTGTTGGATGCCAACGCTCGTGTCGGTTCGATTGTTTCCAGATACGTGGGTCCTATTGCGGCTGAGACCCAGAACCTTCCAGGACAGTATTTTCACAGCTTTTTGGAGGAGAACGAGCTATGGGTCCCTTCGACCTTCCTGGAGTCTGGTCAAACATCGGCTGCGACGTGGTTTCCCCCTGGTTCCCACGGGCTCTCTGCGGGTCGCCGTATCGACTACGTCACTTGCTCGTTTGGGATATCGGTCGCTAAGCAGTCTGTCGTGTCGGACGTGGACCTCACCATATCTATATTAGATCATCTTTTGGTTGCCGCAAGTATTACGATTCCAGTTGCTTCCGTCACGCTTCCCACGGCCAACTCGCACAAAATCAAGTGCGACCAGGCTCGCTTTGCAGACGTGGAGGCACAGCAGCTTTTTTCTCAGCTTCTGCAAGAATGTCCTGCTGTTCCGTTCGAAGCCTCGCCTTCTTCTCACTGCCAGGTGCTAACAGATCATCTTAAAAAATGTTTGGAAACAGCTTTCCCTACGCGTACTACCACCACGGGCAGACGGCCTCGCCAACCCTGGATTTCCCAGAAGACCTTGGAACTGATGGATGCTCGTACTTCCCAGCTCCGAAGTTACAGACAGGTAGGCTTTGCTTGCAGGCAGCTGCAGTTAGCTCTCTTATTCCATGTTTGGGCTGAACCCATTCGAGGTCCATGGGCTTGTCTACGCACCAGGCAGTGGAAGTTGTCAGCTCGAACACCAGCAGTATTTGGCGCCAGATGGGGCTCACGTGCGAGCCAGCTTTCTTCCCTCCTCAGGCCTACTCTCCTCGAGCTCTTCTTCTACATTGACTGCCTGC